GGGCCCGGGGCCTCCGATGCCGCCGCCTCGTCGTCCGCTGCCGCCAGCTGCCTGCTGCTAAGCCGTGAGGGGCGGGGGCCCTCGGGACCCTGCCGGGGACATGGGCAACGGGATGTGCTCCCGAAAACAGAAGCGGATTTTCCAGACCCTCCTGCTCTTGACTGTGGTCTTCGGCTTCCTCTACGGGGCGATGCTCTACTACGAGCTGCAGGGCCAGCTGAGGAAGGCTGAGGCCACGGCGCTCAAGTACCAGCAGCATCAAGAGTCCCTCTCGGCTCAGTTACAAGGTACTTCCCTCGGCAGGAGCCTCTGCCGCCCTTTCCTAAGGCTTGCAGATCACCCTCCTCCTCCTCTGGGGAAGTCTGGGCTCCAGCTGTTCAACCTCTCGCAAAGTTTTGCTCCTTACGTGCTGCTTCCCCTTCTTTCCCCCCAGCCTGTGGGGTTTTGATACCTAACCGTGGGTAGGTTTCTAGCCCAGCTGAAGTCAGTGTGAGTTTTTGTCATTCCCCCTCTTCCCCAAACACGTTTTATAGAGTGACTCTTATTCCTAAAGGACAGCACATCACTTTGCAATTCGTGGTATAAATGGAAAAGACGGGCATACAGCCTGCTGCTCATCTAACGGTACAGACCACGTATGGTTCTGGGACTTTTCTGTGCTTCTGTGTTGTCTTAGCAGTATTAATTTTATGCTGCTGAGAGAACATTCATCTGCAGAAACACAAGGCTGCAGTTCCTGGGCAGCACAAACCTTAAATGGCTCCAGGAGGGGGAGGAGGACTTTAATAAAGCTTTTTTTTTTTTAAATGGTAATTTGAAAGTAATGCTCAGTTAAGTTATTTGAATAATTCTATTACTTTTGGAATAACTTTTAATTTCTTGGCTTAAAGCTGCCGCATAAATACAGATCCTTATGTATATGAAGGTTTATGAATGCACCAAGTGTGGGTGTCTGGGCGTCCTGTACTTAAAAAGATGCCAGTCTGACATCTGTGTGTACAGAAATCAGATGCAAAGCAGCAGATATATACGTGAAGCATCAGTGCTCTAGGAAGTGCAAGCCTCGGTGCCTCTCTAATTGTCAAGTGCAAGATTAGCAGGTTGGCATATATGAAGTCCAGAGCCAACTTTCAAAACTCTAGAGTTTTATTTCTCAAAATTGTATAAAACAAGAATAACAGTAGTCTGTTCTAGCAGCTGTAGCAGTACTTCAGGGTGATCTTCAGCCATACATTTTCATTGTGGAAGCATACATAAAAGCATGCCTGGAAGCATACAGTTTTTATGCAAAGAGCGCAGAATTGGGCTTACACTATTAGATTCTTGTAGTGATTTGTTATTTGAATATGTTTCACTGCAATCTGAGACCATCATTACTTAGTATTTCAATTTCAGGCCATTTCCAGGTAATGCAGTGGCAAAAATTGACAGAAACCTTCATTTTAGTCACAAAAAAGGTGTAAATGTTTGACTGGGAGATGGGTGTGTGGCAGATGGGTATGTGGCAGATGGCTAAAGGGCTACTTTTGCTAGTCTGTATATTTGCCAACAGTATTTGAAGAGGACACAGGGACATCTTGTTCTCAAGCTAAAATTCAACAAGTTAGCTTTTTCTGTTGCTCTGGCTATACCAAAGAGGAGCACGCAACAAACATTATCCTAACACAGAGGAGAGATTCTGTTGATCAGAGATACTGGGTCTGGACTGTTAGTTAAATTTTCCATGTCTGAAACACTATTTTGAGTAGCCATCATCTATTCAGACAAGTTCCTAGAAGCAGCAGGCAACTAGTAGTTGATAAATGCAGTGACAGTGCTGCATTTTATGTAAGTATTCTCTTGCTTGTTTCAGTGTATCAATGAGAAATGTAAAATAATGGACCAGAATCTGAAAACATTAATACTTTGGATTATCAGTGCAATAAATTCACATGGTTCTGGGAATGACCCATGGCAATGTATCAAGCTCATTAAGCAGGAGATCTTATCTACACCTAGTAAGGTAGCAGTAAACCCTGTTTAAAAAAGCAACTAGCAATTACGTCACAATACAAGGAAAATCATAATGTAACAATAAAATTGGTTCTTTAAAATTTTCCTGTGTTATGGCAATAGCTAATATACCTAAAAGAGGGTGAGGCTGAGAGCCCAGAGACACACTAAATGCAGCAGCAAGCATTAGATGCCTAATCTCCCACTAAAGTAAATGGAAGCTATATGCCTAAGAACTTTGGGGGACTTGGCCTAGTGAGCTAGAAATAAACTTTTCTTCCCTGTCTTATTTAATGATTCTTTCTGGGATGGTCTGCCCTATGTAATCACTTGGACTTTTGCCATAGCAGTTTATTAGTGAGGAGAACATAAAGATTTCAGAAGTTGTACCTATGGCCAACTCACCTGGAGATACACAAGCACCATGCTAACTGGTGACAGACAACAGCAAAACCATTTCTGAACCTTTCCTGTTTAATTCTTCGATATGGAACAACAGGAAGAAATTTTCTTTAAACAGAGACTTTGAAACAACATAAAATGCTGACAGATGATTAGGTGTTTGCAGGTGCAGTATCTGACTGCACTTTGAACTTTTGATTTTAAATGGCCTGGATTTTAAATCAACAATGTTTCTGTTGCCAAACAAACAAAAAAACCCCTTTTAAGAATAGCTAGGCTACATCTCTTTGCTGTCCTTAATAACGTGAGAGATGATTCTTTGAGTTTATTCCATTTATGAGAGCAGCAAAATGTATCACTGCTAAAGCAGTGCAACTTGTCTTTTCCATGCAGCATAATCCGTTTCTCTGGATAGATACTGGTCTAGAGATAACTTTGGGGCCCAAAGTATGATGGGAACATTCTGAAGTCTTTTAAACAGGAACCAGTTAAAGGGCAAAGTCACTGACATAGCATTGCCAGGAGGAAAAGAGGGTGCTGTATCAACAGTGGTTGATGATTTAGTCTTTACAGCTCTCTTCTGGGTGATTAAATAAGACTTTAAAGCTCATTACAAGCTGAGGAGAGAACCGAACCTTGGACTTCCTGAACAAACATTTCATCAGTAGGCTTTTATTGTTTTAAATTAAAAAAAAAAAAAAAAAGGCAACTTCTTAAAGTCATCTTTTTGAGGGTCCTGAGGCTCTATTGTGTCAGGCTGGCTGTGCTCCCGGAAGGCTGACTGGATTGAAATGCCTGGATGACAGTGAGATACCGCCTGTTTTCTGAATTTTTGTTGGCTTTTGTTGTGACTGCTAAGGCCTATAAAGGCTTTCCTGATTGTACACAGAGGAACACTGTCAGGGCTCCTGGGTGAAACCTGAGTCAGTATGTGAAACACTTAAGGATCATAGGAAACTCCTAAGTTTGTGTATAAGGTCACAGTTTTGGACCTGAATGCCTTTGGTTTGCCCAAAATCTGAAGAAGGATCCTCAGATGTAGCTCAGAGTGTAGCCTCTCTTAACTTCCTACTGTCCCCTCTGCTATTTTTCTCTCTCTGCACAGTTTTTTAGGTTTTTAATCTATGTAGGTAATAAGAACTTTCTTTTTGGTACTTGCCAGTTCTTCATGCCTGAATGAGCAGGGCTTTCTGGTTTTGTTTCAAAAGCCAGTTGTCTTAGATTTTTATCTTTTTCATTGCCTTGTTTTGCTCTAACGCAGCACGTGAAGCAGGCTAAATCTTCTGTATACCTGGGAGAACAGCACTCTCAACTAACCAACGCAGAATCTACGGGTCACTGAAAAATGGTGCAGGAAGAGGTCTCAAAATCATTTAGCCCATGCGCCTGATCTGAAGAGGGCTAAATGCAACTGTTATTGTAGGGACTTCTGCTTTTTCTGGTATTTGCAGGTACTTCAGGTACTCAACTGAGAAGTATTTGTGCCTCTTGAAATAAGATCAGGGTGCAATTGGAAGGATGGCAGACTTGGGGAACATGATAAGAATAATTGGTTTGGAGAGGCTGGATCTTAACCTCACCCCTTTTAGACAGCTCACGCTGTAGAGTATTTTTTTTATTTGAAAGCTAAACTTCTACGCCATCTCACAAGAGAATGTCGAACTTTGGCAGTTTTATCTCTTTAACAAAGTTCTAATGGGCGTGGACAAGTAGAGCTGCTTTTGTAACCTACAAAGGGAATACTGGAGGCAAAATTTAGAGATGACACAAAATTTCTTGGCTGCTAGAAAACTTAAAGTCATTGTTATCTGTAAGGTCTTTCGTAGAGAAGCTGATGTTCTCTGTAAGATGATTATTTTTAAACATAATTCTCTGAGCATTATATGTATGAAACATGAAGATAATCTCACCTGGTATTTTTTTAAATGATGAAAACAAAGCTTGTGACTGTTTGCCTCCTGCAAAGATGTGTCAAACTAGGTCTTGGCTGTATAGCAGCAGACTTCGGTTGCTAGAACAGATACACATGGACAGCTGTAGATGAATCGTATCTTTGACTGCTTCAAGCTTGAATGTATCTACAAATGTCTTTTTAGCCCTTACAGCTTCTGTCTTCTCATGCTCTGAATATTGAATAACTCCTTGTGTACTGTTTAATCTGTTTTAATCCCTAATCCCAATAACAGCCTACATTTAGTGCCTTTTACTCCACTAATTTTCCTGCTCTTTCTCTTCAACTCTTAGCGTATCCGATGGCTTCAGGCAATCTCTGTGCAGTCTGAGACCATACTGTAATGGTTGGACTTGAAGATCTTGAAGGTCCTTTCCAACCTAGTGTTTCTGTGATTCTGTAATCTTGGGAGCCACCCCAGCAGGGACTCCGAACAGTTCAGAGTTTGCCCCAGTGTAGACGAGGTGTGGATTTCCTCAAAGATATCTGATCCAGTGCTAGAAAGCACCAGCTGAAAAGCAAGTGTGGAATTCCTCTGTGCCTGTTGTGCCCTTTGTTCTGAACTGAGGCCCCTTCTCGGAGGTGACCTGCTAGGAGTTGGTCAGATCTATAGCAGCTGTATGTGTAGAGACTTGCATAATGCATCACAATACTAGATCATAGTTCTGTGTAACTTTAGGGGTTAATATTTATTCCATCTGTCTCCATGCTAACTACGTAGATGCCAAAGCTGTTCTTAGTGAAGGACATCCACATCTGTATGTATGCTGCTATCTCACCCCTCTTTCATAGTACTCCATTTAAACTTGTACCGTCAGTTGGCAGAGCTAGGAAGAACTAACAGTACTCCTGATGGCTTATTTTTTACATGCATCGTACAAGTAGAGCTACATCTATGCAGCTCCTATATGGTTTGGTTGTTCCCCTTGACAACAGCAGCCT